TGATATTGTGGTGGTAGTTTAGTTAGTAGTAACATCACATGATGGATTCACAAATAAAATTGGAATAGGCGTCAGGCTAAGATAATTTTCTATGGTAATTTATGCTCAATATTACACATTAGTTTTCTGTAAAAAATACTTCTACATGTAAAAGTCAAAACTGGGAGTATTTTCATAATATATTACACGAATACGGTGTCCCCTATCTACATTTTAAAAAATATGCTATGTAATATTACCTTGCACTAGACAACTTGTCCTATAGTCATTTAATTTATCAACACATTTTCTTCTCAGCCATAATACATATAGTAAACCTTTTAACATTCAAAAAATTTAAACCTATGAAACCATAGGTCTAACAAACTTCACAGGGAATCTTGCTAAAAATATCTCTGTCCCAAGAGGAATACAATCCTAGAAATTCTCAGACAGATTAGTTGACAGTGAAATGATGCATGCTCCTAATCTCTATTCATTCCCATGCATTGGAAGGCTTGTTAGCCTAGGTAACTAATGTTGCATACGAATTCCAAAGGAAATAAAGTCCAACAAAAATGTTGCATGCATGGCTTTAAAGATAGCCCCTACCTACCTAGGATTGCATTCTTTTTGGGACAAAATTTGAATGCTCGAACCGCATAACATTTGGGATGGGGCATGTCTACCCAAGTATCTGTCACTTCAGATTTTTAGTGGCAACATATTCCTTAAGTATTCCAATATTGGTTGTCAACACATTACCGGTAATGCGATTCATTGAGTCATCTCAAATAAGATTCATTAATGTAAAGATACCAAGAAAATATCAGCGTGTAGCAATATTGTCATACCTTAGCAAAATTCATTGTAAATGGGACTGTCAAAACAGCCATTCCTCTAGAAAAGTACTTCATTTTACCGGCCATAGGATTTCCCTCCATTCCTTGTTGCAAGTTAAGCTGCAATAGCATAATTTTTTATTCAGTTTGACTGCAGAATCAATAAACAGAAATAGAAAAGAGCAGATGATTCAGGTAGAAAAACTAGGTCAAAAGTATAAGAAAATTTGTGCACGAGCAGAATAGTTTACTAGATCCATGGACAAGCATAGTGTAGTTACCTGGGTGAGTTTAATAAGCGAATGCATAAATGCTTATGGGGACCAGATGGTGGTAAATTCAGGTCTAGATTAAAAAAACATGCGTGACATGAATAATTGAATATATGACCATCAATGACTGCTTGTGTGGACTTCCATTTTATAGGTGGAGGTAGTTTTATTCCAGTAAAGAAATAAGCATCCAAGAATGAAATAGAGGTAGAGCAAATTAAATGCACAATGCCAAAAGGGCAATCATAAAACTGAATCAAGACAGACAAAGTGCACACCTCCACTGTGGCCAAGAAGGTCAGTCCTGTTAACACAGGCAAGAGGTAAAGAGAATCTGGAGTCGTCAGGTCAGTAAACCACAATGCTCCACCTCCTTTGAATGAAGGTACTTTCTCAACCATGTTTGATATCTACAGTTGGTAGTGCATTAAAATACCACTAAAGAAAGCAAGGTGCAAGAAAGAATTGAGTGGATGAAAAAAAAACTCACGGCAAAGTAAAAGCTCATGAACATTGGCCCTTGGATCAGGAGTCCTTTCATTGGAGTAAGTGGACTAACACCATGTCTAAGGGGGAGGCAGAAAAAACAAAATAAGTTGGAGAAACTGGAGCAAAGAGCAATATTTCAAATGCATGACACACAACAATGAAGGAAAAAGGTATATTACAAGCTTCAGTGTTTGATTGTTTCATCATGCAATTCAATGAAAAGTGCATAATATGAGCAGTAGACTAGGAAGTGAGCTCTCCCACATTTAAAACCTAGTCATTTGCAAAAGGAAAGAAAAATAGCGAACAGAATGCATTAGCAAGAAAATAACATCGCCACTAAAATAATAAAACTAATAGCCTACTAAAGATCACATACTTTTTGAACAGCGCTTTCATTTTAGCTTGTCCCTCCTGTGCTGATTTTGGATCCATACTCTACAGGATATAAACTTGAAAGGTTAAAGCTAGCCACAAGATGCGCTTGACTGACAATAGTCAGCTGGTATATATTGTATAATATGGATAAGCTAAGAACAAGGTCTCACATCCATCTGGTCTTTAATGGCTTCCATCTCTGGATTTATTGCCTGCAAAAATATAAGTTTGAAAGAAGCAAAGAATCATCTGGTAGTTGGAACATTATGAAGGAAGTATGAAGCTCATTGCGCATATAACATAAGAAAAGGAGACAAATACAGTGATCAAGAGAAAAATTGTACAAATGACTTCTGGAATACCATCTATGCAAATAAGTCAAGCTTGCTGCTAGAATCCTGGAATTGGAACCAGGGCACCATTTTTAAAAACAAGGTATTTGAATTTTGACTTCACCACTTATAACACGCTAAATCAGAAATTGGACAGCCTATCCATTATTTAAATAGAGTTCCAATCAATTCACAGTTATTTCTCATCATGAATCAAACGCCACCAAGATATAATTTTTTTATTTGTCCAATATTAACGCTACAAAAAATAATTACAGAAAATACCGTGGCCATACATTTTTTTTCAATAAACGCGGTCTTATTTGTATACAGCTAACCAAAGTTAGGCTTTTTGAGTGGCAGCAAGTGCGGAATCACATACATGAGAACCAAGGAGCAATACACAGCAGTAACTAGTAAGTACTTCTTTTTCTTCGACACGTAGTGATAAGTATATCAACTATCAAAAATCCAAACATCTAAGAACCCATGAGCATTCGAAAAGAGCATGGTGCTTGGGTCTAGTCTTTGAACCAAGACCGTTGAGCACAAGCAACTGTCCAGCTACATGCTCAGCTGCTTATCTTATGTGTTGGTCCTGTAGGCAATACAGAGGTTGCTCTTTCCTGAATGACTCAACTCACATGCAGCATAGCTAGGTTCTGTTATTTGATGAAAACACAGCCAAACTTTAGTTGCAGAGTCATTTTGAGCACAAATGCTCTACCACTATGCATAAGATTTTATATATTAGAGTAACTGAGAAGCACATAAAAGTCTTGATGCTGCAAGGTGGACCAACAGCTTGCACACTGCAAATCCCTTGTGCAGAATTGATGAGGGTAACACTAACCATTCGCATAGCACAAGAACAACAGTTGTGCCCATGGGTGTTTGAAAAGCATTTTCGCTTGTAAATAACAGAACTTCATGTTTCTAACATTAGAACCATCCTCCAAAATGGATTCACGAGAAGGTTTTGAGCCACACATAACACTAAATTGAGCAAACAGGCAACAACGAGCTTAGCAGAATCGAATTAGGGGCACTTTACTCTTAGCTTCGTCGTGGCCTTCAACTGGTTCACAAGCAACGGGATCGTGGCGCTCCGGATAATAAGCGTTGTCAGTGCGATGCACGCCCACCTGACCACACACCATAGAAGAGGCCAAGAGGTAGCTCATCAAGCAGACGACCCAAGTGAGCAGATCCCGAACCTTACAGATAAATCCTCAAAGCTCACCAGTTCAGCCCGGTAAAGGTATGGATGGCGTCGATCATGTGCTGAAGTGCGGCAACCGGGGGGAACGAGTCGGCAGCCGCGGCGGCTACCTCCCCCGGGAACGGCGCCGGCACTGCCGCCGCCGCCTCCGCTGCATCTGCAAGGACGCCCGCGGCATCGACCTCGGCGGCTGGTGCGGCCTCGAGGTTGGGGGCGGGGGCGGGGGCCGAGGACGAGAAGCTGCGGCGCGTTGGTCCCGCGAGGTGGAGCGAGAAAGGGAGGAAGCCTAGGGTTTGGGCCGCTATAGAACGTTGCTGGAGCGGGGCGTGAAGTGGCGGGAGCGGGAGCGGCGGCGAGGGGCTCGCCTGCTCGTCAAGGGAGTGGGAGGTAAGCGCGTGTGGAACGCAGGGATGGAGGTGGCAGGTGAGATGGTGAGAGAGCCGGGTGGCGATGCTCCTCCGCGCGGCGAACGCCATGGCTCGGCTGGTGCGTGGCGGCGCGCGGTGCGGGGCGACGCGGGGCCGGCTGGCTGTGACGACGACGACGGCGCGGGAGAGCGACGGCCCGAAGCGTCAGCGGGTCCAACAAGCATGGGCTCAGTGATGGGCCGTTTGGCGTTTGGTCTTTGGGAGGATTAGTTGGGCCTGCCTTGTCACTAAACAGTGGGCTTTTAGGCCCATTCCGGATCTGCCTTTGGGATGGGAGATGGACGGCGCGCGTGAGTACACGCTGACGGAGATGAAAGCGAGACTTGAGTGGACGCGGCGGGCCGCCGCGCACGGATCCCATGATCCCATCAATGCCCTTTCCTCGATTCCAACTCTGCGAGAAAAGCTAAAATAATCGGACCCCATCTCCTTGGGCCGTGGGATCCCCCTCCTCCGCCGCCCTCGGATCAGCGCCACCGCGCCGGAAGACCGGGATCGTGGCGGCCACATGGACAAGGTTACGGCGGCCGCCGCGTTGCCATGGGTGAGTCCCCATGCCTCATCTCCTCTCCTATTAACCCCCGCGGCCCCGCCCCTGCTTTCCTTGCTCGCGCTTCAGGTAGCATACATAGCTTCTGATCAGACCGTCCGTTCGACCGTCCATGGAGGTTCTTGGGTTCGCGGCAATGGTCGTTTGCTTCCTTTCGCTAGCTTATTACTTTCATCAGTACTCCGACCTGGGCAAGCGTGTTGGGCTTACGGGGATGGTTCTTCTTGGTTGCTTTTGTTCAGGGAGGCGGTTCCCCGGCGTGGATCGACGTGCCGGAACGGAGCAAGAGTGCGTTCATGGAGCTGAAGCGGAGGAAGGTCCACCGGTACGTGATCTTCAAGATCGACGACAGGACGGAGGAGATCGTCGTCGAGAAGACCGGTGCGCCCGGGGAGAGCTACGACGACTTCACGGCGTCGCTGCCGGCCGATGACTGCCGGTACGCCGTCTACGACCTGGATTTCGTCAGCGACGACAACTGCAGGAAAAGCAAGATCTTCTTCATCTCCTGGTTTGTGCTTTCTTTCCCGCCTCTTCTTTTTCTTGTCTGCTCATCTAATTTGCTGAATGAGCAATGTTCTGAATTGATATATCCAATGGCCATATGCTCTGTTCATGTATTACTGCTATGCATTACTAGTCGTGAGTGGTTCCGTCGAGACTTGAGAAGGATGTCTCCAATTTTTAGCCCTGTGGCTAAACACACAACAACACAGGTTTACTGGAGCTAAGTCTTGATCGCAGCTGACAGTAGCTGTTACATACGTTTCAGTGTTCTTAATTTGTGAGATCATGTTATCATGATCTGTCCAATGTGGTTAGAATGTAGTTATAGCATGTTTCAACCTCATGGAACTAGCATCATAAGCTTCCAGTGCACAGTTGTACTGAGAGCAGACTCGTTGCAAAATGGCACTTTTTGCTTGGACAGTTGAATAGGTACGGATTGGAAAAAGGCACTTCCAGCTTAACAAACACAGCAGTTCATGTTTGTTGTTTTCAGTAAGTAAAGGTATGCTTTGAATTCGTGAAGTGCCAAGGAGAGATTAGTTGTATTGTATAGCAGTCATATATTTCTCATGTTGTCAAACTGAACTTTCGTTTCACAGTATGACTGAGTACTAATAAGTGATATATGATGGAATCATCATTTCCCAACTAATTTCTTATAGCACACTCGCTCGTGTTAACGGTGTCTCCTTTCTGTGCAGGTCGCCTTCAGATTCTCGCATCCGTGCCAAGACCATATATGCCGTGTCAAGGAACCAATTCCGTCATGAGCTTGATGGGGTGCACTTTGAGATCCAAGCCACTGACCCTGATGACATGGATCTGGAAGTTCTCAGGGGCCGTGCTAACAGAACCTGATTTGACTAGCGAGCAACCAAAATGCAGCTCGGGGGTCGCTAATCTGAGGCATGATGTAGAAGTAGGCTGCTGATCACACCCGAGCTTGCAATGTTTTTCTCTTTCTTCCTTTCTTTTTGGAGGTATAGGACCTCTGTGATGTTTGTCTGACTAGATAGGTTCCCTCTAATATGATGTGGAACCTGTCCTTGTTTTACATATAATTGTCTATGTGGTATCTATATGTTGCTGCGATGAATGGATATTATGGATTAATGAAACTTAAAAATTCCAAAGATAAGGAATTGTTAGTTTTCGCATTACTGCGAAATACAGGTTGTTTCTTTGGACTTTGGAGCATGGAAATTTAAATAACAGCCTTGAAATGAAAGAAACCCTGAAAATTTACTATACGCGAAATGCAAAGATTATGAAAGCAGAGGTTGTTGATACCTGTGCTTATGCTATTGTAGAGAAATAATGATTTGCGATGATTGATAGCCAACGAAATTCAATAATTGACGAAAACCAGTAAGTTCTGAATACCCATGTGCCCGGGACCAATACATAGCGAAGGCCAATGATCAGGCTAATGGCTCTGTTCGCTGGTTGGTTTCTGGGCTGATAAGCATGACTGGTGTTGGTTTATTGTGAGAGAAAAACACTGTTAGCTGACTGATAAACCCTGACTGAAACCAACAAGCGAACAGGCTGAATATCGTGAAGACCAATATGGAGAAAACAATTCGCCGAAGGTTAATCTGTTATCTGTTACACCTAAAAAATACGAAGGACTTTCGTCCAATCGTGCGCACGCCTAAATACTCCAATAAGTACGGACGCCCTGAAACCAAGTCTCGTACCCTGTGTTCGTGCAACTCCTCCGCAGACGTCTGAACCAGGGCACGAGCAATAGCTTGGACCCATCGACCACAGAAATTTATCCCTGTCCGGCTAGGAGCACGTGACGTGGGAAATAAAGGAAACACCGATCTACCCTTTGTTACCCAAACCAGATTTTACGTGACTCTTCTTTACTTTTTGTAGATGATTTTTCCTATTTAAGTTTCTGGCTCCACCATTGTCAGGCCATAGTCATTAACTGTACATGCATGACTAACGCGATTTTCAAATTAAGCATCTGTAATGATACAAATATAATTTATAAAAAAAGAATAAAATTAAAATTAGAAAAAATGAGAGGGATAGACTCACTCCGTAAAAAATAAATCAAGCTCTAAAAACAAATAAATTGGATTAAGTTAAATATTTTCTTTTCAATTTTGTACTGTCGTAGCATAATATTTAGTTGTTTTATCTCACACAGACAAATAGTATGTGAGACTAAAAGAAGTTCACCTTAGGATCTCGTAGTGGTAGGTAGAGAATAATTTCTTCAAGTTCACTCTAGATAGTTGTGATGAATACGGTTGTTACACTACGAATTAGATTGATTTGATTTCAAGTGATCTATGTCAAAACTTGAATTATGTTCTAATTGAACATGAATTAAAAGAACGGATTTAGCAACAAATAGTATAACACATGGTTACATTTAAATTATAGTGATACTATTTTTTCCGTGCAACGCACGGGTATGATTCTAGTAATTACACAATAACCAATACTATATAGATACTAAAATAACTTGGGTATTGTCGGGTATAGATATTAGGGATACCCAAAGCAAGGTAGTTAGCACCCATGCTGACTTCCCCATATGGCTCGAGACGTATTAAAAGGTCTCTCTCGACTCAAGGCCGCGGGCTCCGTCTCGCCCGACCCCTTGGGTGCGGCCTCCGTCTCGCCCAAGGCCGCGGGCTTTGTCTCACCCGACCCCTTAGGTGCGGGCTTCGTCTTGCCCGACCCCAAGGGCGCGGTTTTCGTCTCGCCCGACCTCGAGGACGCGGGTTCCGTCTCGTCCGACGGGGACCCATACCGCCACCAACCACTATAGGTCCAAGCGTATGGCCCTGGGTCAAAACTCTGACACCAGGGAAGAGGCTGGCACGCCTCGATGTAATCCATGACCATGACGGGCCATGCTCGGGGATTCACATCAAGAACAGTGTCGGGCGTGCCGGTGCTGTTCTGCATAATCCTCGTACGGACGCTGACAGGGGCATCAGTTCACCACGACATCCGTCGGGACAAAGTGGAACGCCATGACCGACAGATGATGCCTGCGCATGGTGCTAGTGACGAACAGGGCCGCGACATAGAGCTGTCCTTGTTGACATGTACAGGATCAGCGGGACCCGTATGAAGGAGAAGAAGGACCCGACAACTCTGGAAGCCTTATTCTCTCTCGTTCTTCTCATTTTTTCTCTGATGTAACCCATGCTTTCCCTTCGCCTATAAAAAGGAAAGCATGGCGCCCCTTGAAAGAGAGATCTAGACGGGAGATCGAAACATAAGAGCACACGCCTGAGCGCCAAGCGAGCTCTCAGCACCCGTTCACTCCTTCCACTAGAGACTTGAGATCCTCTCCCTCTCTTGCCTGTTTGTAACCCCTACTGCAAACTAAGTGCCGGTAACACGAGCAGCAACGAATTGGACGTAGGGACGTTCCGCCAGAACCAGTATAAACCCTTGTGTCCTCCGAGCACATCATCCGAGCCAGACGCGCAAATACAAATTTCTCGTCGGTGATCCAAAAACACCGACAATTGGCGCGCCTAGTAGGGGCTTTTTGCGCGTCTCGACGTCCACATCAGGCCTCAGATGGCTAGTCACGGCGTCAGCTGGGTCCTAGGCACGCACGTGCGCTTCGGGAACCTGAACTTCATCGTTATGACGGAGGGAGAGTTGGCGCAGGTTCCCACCGCCGTGCAGCCTCTCCACTCCGCCGGCCTCGACGCGATCGCCGAGGCGCTTGAGGAGCTGTAGCTACACACACCGGAGGCCCACGCCCTCGGGAGCGACTAGCTCCTCAGCTTCAATTATGGGAGGCTAGAGCGCCAGCTCGGCGCCTTCCTGGGACCTCGACCGTCCTAGGAGCACCTGCGCCGCCTCACCTTCTCGTTCGCCAACATCATGACGCAGCTTGCTGGAGGAGAGCCGCTCTCCCTGGAATACCTCATCAGGAGCGCCCCGATAGCGCTCCCTTTTGGTTTGCGCAACGCTGCAGAGACCGTTGGCCACCTTGTGGCGCAGCGCACGCCCTCATCCCCTATGAACGACGAGTTCGTGGGGATGACCGAATACATCGCAAAATCTTTCCATGTCCTCGCGGGAGAATCAGAGTTGCCCTCTGACTCTGACTCCAGCAGGGGGAGCCATCACCCCTCGCGAGAATGTTTCATGGCAGGTACCCTCGAGGGATACATCGAAAGCATCCACAAAGAGGGGGATGCAGGGGCCTCACCTCGCCTGCGGGTAGAGCAGCTGAGGGCGCGACACCAAGAGCTCGAAGAAGCACGACTCTCACTCAAGCAGGAACGCGCGGAGCTCGAGCGAGAGATCGAGCGCCATGGAAACGATGGGCGCGCGCGCGCTGTGGCCCGCGACGTGAACCGGAGGATCATCGAGGATGACGAAGCCCTCCCACACTTCACCCGGGCAAGCCAGAACATCGCTGTCACGGCAGCCTTGCTCTAGGGGCTTTCGGAGCCTGCGACACCCGAGGATTGTCGGGCCCATCGCGAGATTCGCACGCTACTCGAGAGTGCGGCAGCACAGCAGGCCAAGAGCTCACTGTCCCAACGACGCGAGCTCGATGCCAGCCAGCGCGCGCCCTCAGAGCTACTCGGTAGGGACATGTTAGTCCACCAGGCGCAGTGTGGTGGCAGGCCACGCGTCGCAGCCCCGGTGCACGAGCATCTCGGCCTCCACCATGACGCGTGCAACACCCTGGATGCCCGCAGGCGTGCCCCACGGCGATGAGAGGGAGGAGGCTAGTCGTGGCTCTCACCCTCGTCGTGGCGGACGCTACGACAGTAGCGAGGACCGAAGCCTGAGCCCCGACTTGCCGTGACCTCAGGCCTTTGGCCGACACATCCTCAACGATGTCTTCCCACCGCGGTACCGACCACCGACCAACATCCCGAAATACTCCAGAGAAACAAACCCCGAACTGTGGCTCGAGAATTATCGGCTTGCTTGCCAAGCCAGTAGAGCGGATAGTGACAAATTCATTATCTGCAACCTTCCATTGTTCTTGGACGATTTGGCGCGAACGTGGTTGGAACACCTTCCGCCCAACCGAATAAAAGTTGGGCGGACCTAAAAGAGATCTTCGTAGGAAACTTCCAGGGCACATATGCGGGTCCTGGGAACCCATGGGATCTCAAAAACTGCCGATGGAAGTTTGGGGAAACTCTTTGTGGGTACATCTGGGGCTTCTCTCGGCAGTGCAACGAGCTGCCCGACGTCGCTGACGTCGACGTCATAGGAGCTTTCCTATCCGGGACCACCTATGAGTCATTGGTTCACAAGCTAGGACATAAGGGCCCGCGAACCACCAAGGAGCTCCTCGACATAGCCACCAGCTATGCCTCGAGCGAGGAGACGGTCGGGGCAATTTTCGACCCCCCTAAGGGCATGGCAAAGCGGGATGAGGACGCCGGCGAAGGTGCCTTCAACCCCCCCCCCCAACAAGAAGAAGAGCAAGCAGTGGCATGAGGGGTCGCTCGTGGCCACTGTCGACCTCAAGGGGGGTCAAAAGCCTGCTGAGGGTACCTCGGACCACTTCGAGAAGCTGCTCGAAGGGCCATGCCCGAACCATGCTTTCCCCGTCGAGCACCTATACAAGTACTGCGTCCTCATGAAGTGGTTCCCATGGTGCTCTAGAGCCTGAGGACGACCCCCAGCCAGGCCACCAGCTACACGCCATTCTTCATGGTCTACGGTTCTGAGGCTATCCTCCCGACTGACCTCGATTATGGAGCGTTGAGGGTCAGGGCGTACGACGAACAGAGAGCTGAGGCGTCCCTCGAGGATGCCATAGACCAGCTAGATGAAGCGCGTGATGTTGCCCTCCTCCACTCAGCCAAGTAACAGCAAGCGTTGCGCCGGTACCA